GGCGAGTAGCCCATGCCAAAGCGCAACAAGTTTTCTCAAGCAATGAGTATCGGGTCTCGCAGTCGGTAAAATTTTTGCCAAGGTAATAAATATCATGCTCTTTTTGGCCAGACTCGTCATGTTGACCCAACACACACCCCATTGAATTATCAAGTACCTCAAGTATAGGATCAAGTGTCTCCCTTCAACTGGAGGCATCAGAATAGGTGGCTCTTGGAGATACTCTTTAATCCTTTCGAAAGCGGCCAGACATTCATCATTCCATTTTACCACTTGATCTTTTTTCAGTAGCTTGAAGATGGGTTCACAGGTAGCAGTCAGGTGTAAGATGAATCGGGAAATATAGTTCAAACGTCCCAGAAAACCTCTGACTTCTTTTTCTGTTCGGGGAGCTGGCATTTCCTATATAGCCTTCACTTTTGTAGGATCCACTTGAATACCTTTATCACTTACGACAAAACCCAGTAGCTTACCAGACCTCACTCCGAAGGTGCACTTGTTCGGGTTTAACCTCAGCTTGTACAACTTCAACCTGTCAAACAACTTCTGAAGGTGGTCAAGATTTTCTTCCTCAGTCTGGGATCTTGCAATCATGTCGTCGACGTATACCTCAATCTCATGATGGATCATGTCGTGGAACAAGGCGACCATGGCGCGCTGATACGTTTCCCCAGCATTCTTCAATCCAAAAGGCATGACTTTGTAGCAAAAGGTACCCCATTGAGTAACAAAGGTTGTCTTCTCCATATCCTCGGGAGCCATTTTAATCTGATTATAACTGGAGAAACCATCCATGAAGGAGAAAACCTTATGCTGAGCGGTGTTGTCAACCAGAAAGTCAATATGAGGCAGAGAGAAATCATCCTTGGGACTCGCCCTGTTCAGATCCCTATAGTCAACACACATTCGAACTTTACCATCCTTCTTCGGCACTGGAACCACGTTGGCAACCCACTGCGGGTAAGAAGTAACTGCTAGAAAAATAACATCAAACTGTTTCATAACCTCAACCTTAATTTTCTCAGACATCTCTGGGCGCATTCGGCGCACTTTCTGTTTCACTGGAGGACAATCTTCCTTGGTAGGCAAGCGGTGAACCACGATATCGGTATCCAACCCAGGCATATCTTCATAAGACCAGGAAAAGATCTCAACATAGTTACGCAACATCTGAATCAGCCGTTGCTTAACACTAGCCTCCAGATTTGCACTGATCTTGACCTCTTTATTGTCTATCTCTGTACCCAGATTCACTGTTTCCACTGGCTCTTCATGCGGTTGTATGGCCCTCTCTTCCTGAAGTAACAGTCTAGCAAGTTCACCAGGCACCTCACAATCATCTTCACCTTCGTCTTCGACTAAGTTGATCAGACTTTCAAAGTCATAACTGGCAGTACCAAGGTCGTTATCAGTGGGATCCAGAGTAGATGTAGACCTATATATGTGAGTGTGTGTAAAATAGCTATTTTGCAAGATAGAAAAAAAAAAGAAAAACAAGGAGCACAAAATTCGAAATGTAAGAAACGTCCAATGCTTTTATTAATGATATATGGAAATGACAAATATCAAGCCCTCACAAACAAAGCCACGGTGCCTCGGGTAAGACACCGGGCCGTAAAGTTCAAAAATTGTCTGTTACAAACTTAAAACAAAAGTCTCATTACTGGGTAATAAAAGAAATTGGGACGAAGTCTTTTGCCGTTCAGTTGCGTAATCCGTCGTCGGTAGTTGGGTAAATCCAACTGTCAATATCATACTCTTTATCCTCGTCTTCAATGGCATTCAGTCTTGAATTGCTGATAAACAGGGGAGGTCCTCCGATCCGTGCATGCCGTACAATCCTTTGAGCTTCTGTAGTGAAACCCAAACCAAACTTGTTAGTCTTATGTGCAAAATCAGGGAGTTGGCCCCAATTTGCACACCCACCTTTCTCAACAACAGCCCGGGCATCCTCGAGGGAAGCCATCTTCGTCATGAAATGTATTATTTATAGTAGTGTTAATCATGCAACTTAGACAAACCTTCTTCAAAACATCATATTATGTATAGGTCATCCATCTACAATAGAATTTTCCTAAATACGAAAGAAAACTTAAAAACTCAACTTAAATTGAATAATCAAAAGAATAAAACTTATTAAATTGGACGAAAATGATATGGTAATGAATGACAAAACAATGACTAATTATGTACTAAAATTTGAAGTAGAAATGTCTGACTATGATGTTGTTGATATATATGCCTATCATACTGTAAATGAACCATTTGTTGAAAAAAAGAGGAAATAATGAAATATGTTGAACACAAACGTATGCATATTAGTTTAGATGATGAGGTGGAAGTTGAGAATGTGCATGATGAACATATGGGAAATTTGGAGCCTGGGCAAAGTGAAAATGTACAAGCTCAATAGAGTGAGAATGTACAAGTTAAGAAAAAAGAAATTGGGCATGTTGGGCATATGGGAAACTTTCATCCTGATTATGTGCATGTTTATATGAGTGAAAATGTATAGGTTAAGCATATCAAATATGTCAATAAAGAAGATGAAGACTTTGTGCATGAGGATAATGATTATTATGATTTAGAGGAAGAAGATTGGGATTGGGCTCACGAAATACCAAATCAGATATTCGTACAAGAAGACAATGATGCAATCCAAGTTTCTTCAAACAAGGATCCCACAACAATTGATTTTTAATAAGACAAAGATGTCAATTCAGATGAATTAGATACCCCTAATAAGTGAAGTTGAAGATACAAAGAAATTTTCTAAATTTAAAATGGTTGAATATAATAATAAGGTAAGGCTTGAGCTTAGAATGTCCTTCTCCATAGAATCACTTGTTAGAGATGTAGTTAAGTCTTATACAATGGAAAGGAAGAAAAACTTACACCTCAAGAAGAATGACTACAATAGAATAATAGGGAGGTGTGACATAGAATATTCAATTCACATGAAATTCAGTAAAAGGGGAGCCAATCACTTTTGAAAGTTGGCGAGCCTAACTGATGATCACAATTCTCATATGACTAGTGAAAATAAGCATGCTAAAAGCGAGTGTTTTACAAAAAAAGTTTATACCAATTCTAAGATATATTTTTGAAATGAAATAAAAAGAATTGAATGCGAAGACATTTGATAAATTGGGTTTGGTACCAACAATTACAAATATTAGCCAAAATGTAAAATCCAGTTGTTTGCCAAACACTTATATAAAAATTGAAAGAAAACAAATATATTGATGGACACATGAAAAAATTACTTTGGCGAGCAACAATAGCTAAAGTCGTATAAGATTAGAAAAAAGACGTTAAAAATTAAAAGATATAAATGGTGATGTTTAGAAAGACACGATAACACTACTACTTCTATATAAACCAAATTTACATTCTCCACTAATCTATATTAAGATTTGCAAGTGAATAAAACGTGTGAGACGTTCGATATAACTATATTAGAACGCAGAGACAAGTCCTTTATAATTTTGTTTGAAGGTTTAAAGAATTTTGTGAATTGATTTTTAGATTTTTTAAATAAAAATTGTTGTTAATTTTTTCCCACACAATTAAATACACTTTTTAATATTAACAAAACAATCTAAAATAACTTACTACAGTATAAACAGAGGTAGTATCAGCTACACAACACCAGACATTCAATTAATTTTGGTTTATTAGTCTTACTCATTAATGAGTTGTCCAACTTTTATATTGAAATGTAAGGCAAGAAAATAAATAGAGCAAGAAAAGAATGTTAAGAAGTAATTCTATTGGTTGGTTTCAAATGCCACGGATCGCGATCCCATTACCCTTTCTCAGAGACATTCAACCGTAGATAGACACTCTAATCAACGATCACCATCTCTCCCGTTTTTCTATTTTCTATTTCCAATTCCCGCTCGCTCCTCATTTTCTCCTCCAATATATATTACCCAAACACCAACGTCCTTCTCATCAATCACAACTCAATTAACATACATACCAGATATTTGTTTTTCTTTCTCCACTCTCAATGGCACGTACCAAGCAAACCGCTCGCAAATCCACCGGAGGAAAAGCCCCAAGGAAGCAACTCGCAACCAAAGCCGCTCGCAAATCTGCTCCCGCCACCGGTGGCGTCAAGAAGCCTCACAGATTCCGTCCAGGAACCGTTGCTTTGAGAGAGATCAGGAAGTATCAGAAGAGCACTGAACTTCTCATCCGGAAGCTTCCATTCCAAAGACTTGTCCGTGAAATCGCTCAGGATTTCAAAACAGATCTCCGATTCCAAAGCAGCGCCGTTTCCGCTCTTCAAGAAGCCGCTGAATCCTATCTCGTTGGTTTGTTCGAAGACACTAACTTGTGCGCGATTCACGCCAAGAGAGTTACCATCATGCCCAAGGATATTCAACTCGCTCGCAGAATTAGAGGCGAGAGGGCTTAGATTTTAGTTTTAATGGTAGTTAGATGCTACTCTTTTATGGTTTGGTTCATCTGTTATGAATCTTGATTAAGTAATCCAACAATCTGCTGCTATGTGTTTGTTCAGTAATTGAATCTACTTGTTTTGTAATATGAATCTCGAAAGTTCTCGAATGTTCAATGGTAAAATGTTTGTCACATGGTTTAATTAATTACTAATTGACGTTGTGAATATATGATGTTAATATGATGTTTTAAAGCTGCTCGCAAACTAACTGTTTGTGAAGTTTGGTAAATATAATGTGTTTATGTTTGACTGAGTTGCTCAATGTGAAGAGAGGTTCGATCATATGTGGAAGATATAGCTATGGTTGGGATCTCCTGTTATTGGTCTTAACCTTAATGTTATTTCTTGTTGTCTTTCGGTGTTGTTTCTATACTCGAATTCAATGACTCGGGTGGAATTTGGTGTTTAGTGTTTTCAAGGAGTTTTATTTAAATGTGAAATTGTGATTTTCATATAGTAATTAGGAATTATTATTTTTTTGGACAAAGGAAAATTTAAATCATTTCATTAATAATGAGAAGTTGAATATATGTTTACAATAGGAGAAGGTGGAGAAGGTTCAGATGAAACAGATACACAAGGTGAAGAAGTAAAAGGTTCAGATGTTATCTTAATATTTTTCTCAGGGGTTGTTCCTGCTACCTTTCTAGATCGCAAAGAGATTGTGTTAACATTGACATTAGGACCACCATTCGGATTGACAACAGTTTGGGCTGGAAGTTGGAGTTGTGCATAGAGTGTCTATTGCATATCACTCAAGAGTATGGGACAAATGAGTGGAGAATTTTTTCGCAAGGGATGATCAAGGCAGAATTCTAATCGGATGCGATTTACCCAAAAACCAATTTTTTTACTATTTCGGTATTGTAGGTATTGGTAAAAGTATGAATATTAGTCTAAAATGGAGTCATCTTGTCTAGAGTATGAGCAACTTTATTCGCTTGTCTTTTGACAAATTTAATGAGAGTTTGTAAATAAGTGAGTTAACAATCGGTTGCATTCTCGTGAAATAGAATCAACATCAATGGTATTTTTGTTGTAGGTGTGCACACAATTCATTACACTTTTTATGTTCATCTTGAAATCCACATTATCAAAACCCAAACTATGCATCCATTTTATAGTTGCCATCAAGCCTAGAGCCTCCTCCACCATTACTTTCGTAATTGGAGAGAACCATTATTTATGGGCTGCAATACACACACTTGAATTGTCTCTTATGCAGGCACCTGTATCAAACTTGTTTGAGAAAGAAGCATTTATGTAACATTTCAAACAACCCGTCGGTTGTTTGCTCCACTTAGTATTAGACACTAGTAGAGATTGAGGAATATCGATGACTGTCAGTTGATTAACATTTTTCCAACCACTAAGGAGAAATGAACCGCGACTACATATGGTATCTTGAGAATTAACAACTTGATTCCAAATCTTGTTATTCCTACATTTCCATAAACTCCACAGAGTTGTAGCAAAGCAACCCGATGTTCATGATTAACAACCTTTAAAAACAAAAAACAACAATAAAAGAAACTTGAATATTCTACAGTTGCCGTAACTTCGACCATAAACCAACTTTCTCCCAACAATCTTTACTTATCGAACACTGTAAGAATAAGTGTTCAATACTTTCTTCTTCAACCCCACAAAAGCCACAATCAGAAGGAAAGTCCACGCCTTTATAATTAAGGCGCATTCCAGTATATATACAATTTCTACACAGTCTCCACATAATTTTTTTTAAACTTTTGGCGGTGTTTTTAACTTTCAAATTAAGTCCCAATTCTCATTTACTTTGAGATGCGAGGTATCAATAGCTTCGTCAATGCAAAAGCGGTATGCACTGCGCACTGTATAGCCACCGTTTCTATCGAACTACCACACAATTTTATCATCCTTGACCGCCTCAAAAAGAGAGTATTAAGGATTTTTTCTGCCGCTTCTTCACCTACTAATGATACGATCAAATTAGAATTCCATTGCTTCCCATTTGGATTCACCAACTCTGCCACTTTCAAATTAGATACAGCAGAAAAGTTCGACCATGGATTCCTCAAAGAAGAATTGTCATACAAACAATTTTGATTCCAAACCAAAATATTCTCACCGAGCCTATATTCCATTTATAACCACCACAAGCAACAAACTTTGAGATCCAGATACTTCTCCACACATAGCTAGGATTGTGTCCGATACCAGAATCAAGAAAGTCACTGTTAGTGAAATACACGGCTTTGTAGAGTCTGGTGACAAGCGTGTTCGGTTTAGTCATAAGATTCCACACTTGTTTGCCCAACATAGCATAATTGAAAGCACTGATACTTTTAAACCCCATACCTCCAAACTCTTTTGCTATAGATAATTGATTCCAAGAGAGCCAATTCAAACCTTTTGAGTTGTCTCGACTATGCCTCCACCAGAATGAATTTATCATTTTTTCGATTTCATCACTGAGTGAGGAGGGTAGTAAGAATATACTCATAATGTAAGAAGGAATGACTTGGAGAACCGATTTGATGAGGATTTCTCTTTCCGCTTGAGATAGGCTTTTGCTGCTCCATGAGTTAATTTTCTTCCAAATTTGTCTTTTATATACTTGAAAGTTTCTTTTCTACTTCTTCCTATCATGGATGGAACACCGATGTGTTTACCCGTTCCAAATGCTTGTTGGACCCCAAGTATATTGGCCAAAGAATTCTGAATTTCCAGAGTAACATTCCTACTACAAAGGAACTCGGAGTTTTGCAAATTGATAGCTTGACCGAAAGCTTCTTCATAGGTGGATAGGATATTCTTCATCTCAGCAGCTTCGTTGGAATTAGCTTTGAAAAATAGAAAACAATCATCGAAAAATAATAAATGTGATATTATAGGGACATTCTTACTCCATGAACGTCTCCTCTGGCTTCCGCCTTTTTTATGAGAGCTGACGGACCTTCAGAACAAAGAATAAATGAGTACGGTGATAAGGGGTCTCCCTGCCTCAGACCCCTTCCAAGATTAATATGGCCGACCGTATTACCATTAAGACAAATGGAATAATCCACCGTTTCCACACAGAGCATGATCCACCATACCCACTTTTGATTAAATTCCATAGTTATGAGCACATCCTTGAGGTAATCCCAGTCAATCTTGTAATACGCTTTACTGATATCCAGTTTAAGTGCTATCTCACCAACCTTACCTTTTATTTTGGACTTCATAAAGTGAACCACTTCTATAGCTGCTGTGATCGGTGGGAATAGAACTGACTGTTTTGGAATGCTGGTTCGCGTTTGCGTTTCGCAAAATGTCGCGGTAAGCAAGAATCGCCACCGTCTTTTATTTTCTCCAACAAGGAAAGGACAAAAGCACAGCAAAATTCCTTTTCGAGATATTTCTCGGGTTCGGGAGGTAGATTATAGAAAGGGAAGGTGTTAGCACCCTTTCTATCCGTGGTTATCCACGGGCTCTTAGGTACTTGCTCACTATGTTTTCAAAATGCTTTGCTTTTTTGTGTTTGTGGGTTTTGAAAAAGTATTTGAAAACTTCGATTTAACTCTTGTGTCTGTCCTCAAGAGTGTATGAAGTGTTGTTTGAAAACTTTTGTCAGAAAAGTGTAGGTGCGAAAAGTATTTTTGTTTTGAAAGAGCAAGTACCTGAGAACCTCTACCTACTCAAAAGAAATTAAGCTGTGTAAATGTCCTTTAGACAGTACTATCCCACTATTGAGAAGTAGGTAGCACCGTCGTTGGAGTTTTCGGGTCAATTCGATTAATGGGACATGTGGTCACTAAAGCAATGGTAGGACGCCTTAGCGGTAACCCTAATGTCTTAGATCATTTTTTATCGAGGCAACCTGTGATACGGTGGGAGAACTGACTTGGGTTTTGCGTTTGTATTCGCAAATGTTGCGGTTAGCAAGAGTCGCCACCGACTTTTTATTTTATCCTAAGGAAAGGTTAAAAAAGCACAGCAAAAACCTTTTGAGATGTTTTCTTGGGTTCGGGCAGTAGATTATAGAAAGGGAAGGTATTAGCACCCTTTCTATCCATGGTTATCCATGGGCTCTTAGTTACTTGCTTAGATCACTTGCCTTTTGTTTTCAATTGTTTTAAATGGTGCTTGAATGTGTGTGTGTGTTTTGAAAATGTTTTGAAAAGATGCCAATGTGGTGGCAACCTTTGTAATGATCCATGTGGGGATGTATACAAAGATGTATGTCTTTTGAAAAGGTTTTCATTTGTTTTTGAAAGTTGTTTTGAAAGTGTAGTGTTGTGTGGTTTTTGAAATTAGGCAAGTGTTTTGTTTTGCAAGTTTGATTCAAATAACTAAGAGGTTATCTACTCCTAAATTTCTCAAAAGATTATTGCTATGTTTTAACCCTTTTAACAAGTTTGTTCCACCATTGTATTTGGTGGACAATCTTGTGTTAGGATGTGAAAGGGACGGGCGCGGGTCATCGTTTAAACCATAATTGCAACGGCGTTGAATGTCTTTGGGCAATTTTCTTTAAGGGACTTGATCATTTGTTTTTGTTTGTTTTGAAAAAGTTTTGTCGAGGGACTATGATCATTCAAATTGTTTGCTTTGCCCAAAGAAGTTCAACATACAATATGGCCCATTTATTTGAAAGGCAACAAGTGGAATACCCTAGGGGTGCAAGTGTGAGATGTGTTGTTTATTTTCATGCTCATTTATCTTATATTAGGTCAAACTATTTTTTATCGTTTTTTCGCATACAAACCCTAATTCTAACATGTTATCATTAGAAAGCAATAAAGTGCGAAATTTAAATTACTAAGCTATTACAAAACCAAATGTGGGAAGGGGGGTACAAATGTTCAAATGAGGATATTGACAAGAATTTAAATCTAAATTATTACATCATTTTGAATATTTGCAATTAATCAATGTACAAAAATTAAATAACAATGCAAGATGCAAAAGAAATGTTTTGTATATGTATGAAAAAATATTATTTATGTAAAAGAGAAAAGAAAATAAAAATATATTATTTTTTAGAGTATTTTGAATTTAGGGCAAAAACCCTAATTTTAAAAGAAAATGCCTTATTAACTAATTTAATACAACTATTTGTTTATTATTTATAAAAATAAAATAAAATGAAGTATATTATGGAAAAAAAGCATTTTTGTATCAAATATTAATAAAAATAAAAATTCAAGTATTTTTATATTTTTAACTTAAATATATTGATAAACATATATATATATATATATATATATATATATATATATATATATATATATATATATATATATATATATATATATATATACATATATATATATATATATATATATATATATATATATATATATATATATATATATATATATATATATATATATATATATATATATATATATATATATATATATATATATATATATATATATATATATATATATATATATATATATATATATATATATATATATATATATATATATATATATATATATATATATATATATATATATATATTAAATCTTAAATATGTATTATACACAAAATAAATATTTATTTAATATTTTAATGAAATAAAGAAAAAGAGTATTTTTATGTGAAATATTTTCAGAAGGTAAATAAAAATAAAAGTGTATTTACACTATTTTTCTATTTATTCTAATAATAGTATATATATAATATTTATGTATAAACAAAGAAATAAATCAAATGAATATGCAATAAATACAAAAAATGATGGAAAAAATATTTTTAAAATTT